AGCCTCCGACTCACACTCTCATATGCTATTACTGTGAGCTGGGTGCCCTGTGTCCTTACATTATACAAAAAAGATCACGCCTGCCAGGGACGGCCGTACTTAAATAATATCCCACACCGGAACGACTCAGGAGAACTACCGTTACACCATCGACTGCGACTCGGTGATGTTTCGGAGGAGAGACCTGACGACTTCAAATAGCCGTGATTCCAGAGATCTCACGGACAGCCAGTGGATCAGGGTTTGATTCTTCAGAACAAGCTGGTAAAGTCGCCGACGCGTTGGCGCCAAATAGGATAGGAGATCCTTAAGAACCCCCTCATAGGACAGAGGAAATTGTGGACAAGAGCGTTGATAGCTACGAGCTACCGGAAGTCAAGCTCTTTCGTATCGGTACCGATACACACCCGAGGCAATATGTCGAAAAAGCCGACATCAAACATACCCCAAGACAACGACGGTCAACTGCCCAGAATGACTACCAGACAAACCACTGCTGCAGCTACGACCGCTGGGCCATCCGAAGACATCCCGAGTCGAATGGACCACCTCAAAGCACAGATACAGGAGGTCAAGGATCTACTAGTTATCCTGTCGGCATCCCAGACCAGAATCCCGTCCACACCGCCGGTGGATGCCCCCATACCCACAGTCGAAGTTACGGAGCAACGAACGCCTCGTACACCAAACACCCCCGAGACAGTTCAATTGCTGCCTCTTCGGAACACTCGTTCTCCCTCGATTCCAGGGTCATCACGAATGCACACCGAGGACCCTCCGAATCGCTATAAGAAATCAACCATCTCTGAGAAAATCCTTCCTCTCAGCGATGGGGTAGAACATACCTTCTTACAATGGAGCGCTTCGATTCGGGATCGACTCGTAGTCAATGAGGACCACTACCTTACCGACGTCTCAAGAAGAGCATTGATATGGGGAACTACGACCGGCCTGGCGAAGACCTACCTAGAGCCCCAATACCTGTCCGCTATGCATGGGTTCCGCAGTGCTGAGGAGATGATGGATCTACTAGGTTCATACTACCTCACAGGCAACGAGACGGAACAGGCCAGGAACCTCTTCGACGACCTGCAAATGGGAGAGAAAGGGCATGCTAGCGAAACCTTCCCAGAGTTCAAGGCTCGTTTCCAAAGTGCAGCTATCACAGGACAAGTCTCCGAGTCGGAATGGTTTCAGTACATGTGGAACAAGTTCACTCCTCAATTCCGCAGCCGCGTCGCGATCATCAAAAACCAATGGAAGGGAGAATACCAGACCATGGTATGAGAACTTACCGCCTTCGACCAGGAACGGCGCAGGAACAACAAATTGAATCCGCTACCCGCTCTCGCAAGGACGTCCACACGTACCACGGATACGGCAAAGGCGTCATCAGCGTCGAAGCCGACTCGAGCCACATCAGCTCTGTTCACCCGAACCACGTTCCTCCCCAAGCCAGCCATACCGGAACGTCTGAGAACCGCAGTCCCTGCGCCCTCAGGAAACTGTTTCAAGTGTGGCAAGCCCGGCCATTACCAGGACAAATGCCCCCTTAACGCTACTATCAAGGAAATGGACCGTAACGACCCCGAGGCAGAAGAACAATGGGAAGAAGCTGTGGAACTTCAATCAGATGCGTTCCTCGAGGAAAACGACGAGGCCTAGGAGAAGGCTCCTTCCTAGGTCTACGCAAATGTGACCTGCAAGGACTAGACTTACGAGAACTCCTGGGAGGCACCCAGTTCTTAGTCGACACGACCCTGAGTATGAATGGACTCGGGGTGCAAACGAAGTCCCTAGCTTGTCATTAACAAGCCTTTCGCAATACGACTGTCGAAAGCGCTTCAGAGCCCTATACGGAAACTACCCTACTCTGTACCCATACGTGGATTTCAGCACAAAATCGAAGGCCACGTATCGGAGTATATTCGGTTACACTTAACAGTCGAAGGACGCTGAATATATAACTGCCCCTTTGTACTCCTGGACCTCGGAGCACAAGATGTGATAATTGGGAAGAAGCTTTTCAGCCGCTTCCGAATACTACTCGACTCTGCAAACAGCCGGTTAGTATGAAAGGAGTACCCACCGACTCCTAGCTGGAGCAAGGAGATCACCTTGCCCTACCACTCACGCCAAACGTCCATTAAACATCCTGCATACCAGTCGATGCGAATCGCCGGGATTTCGCAATCCACCGCGAAGACAGACGCCGCGCAGGCGGACGTTCGATGGAAATGAAAGTGATAACTTCTGACTACGAAGAGATCACCGATACGCCATCGAACCCACTACGAAACCAGGAGGTTTCTCCCCCACCCAAATGGAAACCTCCACCGCAGAAAACCCTAGTACATAGGTTTACGCCCATGCATATATGCGAAATCAGTGCAAATGCTTTCCACCACGAGATGATGCGAAACGACTCCAAGTTTTTTCAGACTAGCATCTACGAAATCGATCAGATCATTCATGAAAAGGAGTTGGTAGAGGACGAAGAAACGCTCCGCCTCATCCAGCAGAAGCTTCCGAATATGCACCGGAGGTACACCGATGTCTTTTCGAAGTTGGAATCGGATCGAATCCCCCCCCACCGCATATATGACCACAAGATACAGCTCGAAGCCCCTTTACCAAACGCTTTCTCCCCGTTATATTGACAGGGCACCGAAGAGCTTAAGGCTACCAAGCAATACATGCTGGAAAACCTGGAAAAGGGATTCATCGTCAACAGCAACAGCCCCTTCGCGTCCCCTATCCTATTCGTAAAGAAAGCGGATGGCAAATTAAGATTTTGCATCGATTACCGGAAGTTAAATGGTCTCACCCGGAACGATCCCTACCCCCATGCCGCGTATCGACGAACTACTAGGACGGGTGTCAAAAGCAAAAACCTTCACGAAGCTAGATATCAGACAAGCCTTCCATCGTATACGGATGCACCCCGACTCGGAAGAGTACACAACCTTTCGGACTCGCTATGGATCCTATAAGTGCAAAGTGCTGCCATTTGGACTGACGAATGGTCCCGCAACCTATCAGCGGTATATGAATGACGTCCTGATGCAATACTTAGACGACTTCTGTACCGCATACTTAGACGACATCCTAATCTATTCAGAGGACCCTACAGAACACATAGAGCATGTGCATAAGGTCCTACAGCGTCTCCGAGAAGCTGGATTCCAAGCCGATTTGAACAAATGCGAGTTCGACGTCACCAGGACAAAATACTTGGGTTATGTTCTCACTACCTCCGGTGTCGAAGTGGACCCTGACAAAATCGAACCCCTTCGTAACTGGATCCGACCGACCACTGTTACGGGTGCTAAGTCCTACCTGGGATTCTGTGGCTTCTATAGACAATTCATTCCGTAATTTTGGCAAAATAGCAAAGCCCCTCACCACCATCACTAGTCCCTCGGAGCCGTTCCGGTGGACAGACGAATGTGAGGATGCGTTCGAGGAATTGCGACGACAACTTTTAACAGTACAGGCACTTCACCACTTCAAGGAGATTGACCCAACGGGGGTTCCTCTCTTCATCTTTTTTGTATCCTTCGTAGTAGACCTATAGGATAGCATCCGTTTAGCCTCCGACTCGCACTCTCATATGCTATTACTGTGAGCTGGGTGCCCTGTGTCCTTACAAAACCTCTATCTTACGCCCTTCTCGTTCATGGAGTCCTGAAAGTATAGAAGAGAAGCAGATACATGTGCAGAAACTACGAGAGATAAATGCATATTGGAAATCAAAAGCAGAGAATGAACTTGTTAGAGCAACAACAGCTGGAACTCTTGAGTACGGATATATGGAAACTCTAAATGCAGATATTCGGAATGGCAAAAGCAAATGGAAAAAGGCATGAGTTGCTTCACAAGAGTTTGGAGATATAGAGACATGGAGTAGAGGACGGCAATCAGAAGGGCAAGAAGTTTCAAAGGGCGGGGTTGATTGGTTTCGATATCGAGAGATGGTTCTTATTCCTCTTCTCTTCCCCTACTTTCGAAAAGTAAAGGCTTTACATCCTACAAAACGAGTATGGTTTGTGGATGATAATGTAAGTCTTCATTTGAAAGCTCACCGATCATTGGAAGATTATATGAAGAAGGAGGGAATCTATAGAGTGAAATTTTGGCTTCCAAACTCTCCTGATTTGCACCCTATTGAAAATGCCTTTGATTATCTCAAGGATCAGGTTGACGGCTATACACCATTAAACGGAGGAAAGTTTGAGAGAGCTCATGCACGGGTATTTCTTGAGGAAGAATGGGGGAAAAAAGTGGATGGGAAATTTACACAATTATGTGCTTCGTTGAAGGACAAGTTGGAGCGGTGTATTGCAGTCACTGGGGGGAACAACTTTCGTGGGTAGATCAATACACGCCCCACTTATTACGCACAGACCCTGTGGAAACTTTTGGGCCGCAACGCGGTGCTTCCAGTGATCTTCGTGCACGCAACAACACAGTACAGTACACATCCTACCAACAGCAAGCGCTCAATTGAAAACAAACAAACACTGATTTCTTCAAACACGGCACTTCTTCCAAACCTTGTGCAAATTGACAAACAGTACCTCATTCCTGTCAATATGGAGAAGGGTCCTCAGACATCCACCCCAGCACCCAAGATCTGCTTCAACTGCAAGAAGCTCCAAACCGAGTTCCCAGACCCCTCAAGCGCTGTGCAAAGTGCCAAACAGCTCTCTATTGCTCCCTCGAATGCGAGAAGGCCGACTGGAAGAGCCACAAACCCACCTGCCACCTTCCAGGGTCTGCCCCTCCTCCCAACCCGCCGCAGGGGCCCAAGGGCCGCCACAACACTGGCTTTTATGTCATGAATGACAATAACGTTGGCTTGCTACTATGCTTCTTTATAATATATATTGTATGTGCAATTATCGTACACTCATGGTCCGCATCTATCTATAATACATAACCGTAAATGGCGAAAGGCATAACGCCAGCTCTCCCCAAAATTGTTCCGGCCTCCTATATTACACCTTAACAGCCTGTTCTTTTCCCTCCTTCAAGCTCTTTAGCTCTTCAACCTCTTCCTGGATATCCTTTCTCACATTTTCCTCTCTCTTCTCTAGGCTTTCGAAATCCCAAAACTCCTGCTTATCATACACCTTAACTCCATGCTCCTCGTCCAGCCTGTCCATTTCCTTCCTATACTCCTTTCCCCTGCTCACATTATCCTGTATGTTCCCATATCTTTCGCTCATGTACGACGAAACATCGGATTTACCCAGCGACTCCTTCCTACGCCTCACGCTCGCTGCGTACAATGTCTCTATTTTGCCAGCCATCTCTTCAAGGCTATACTTCACCTCCCAGTTGTGGGTAGCGTTCAGATTGTCGGGACGAACCACCTCGTGACCGTTGACAAAGTTACGGATGTTCAATTTGAATACCGCCAAACGGCCCACGAAACTCTCAACGTCGTTTTCGATTGGGGCATTCCAGTCCGGCGCCTCATCCGCTGCTGCTGTATCCGCATTTTCACCTGAAGATTCAGCAACAGCCTCGTTGGCATCACTGGCCATGGCCTCTGCATCCTCCCTTTCAGCACGGGCAGCCATGAGATCCAGCATCTTGTTCACAGCCATCTCAACCGGTGTGCCCTTTTCGACTTTGCCGAAGGCATTGCGGATAGTCTCTACGGACGCTGACTCGTCGAGATGGTTGAAGGCGGCCTCGAGTATTTCATTTTGGTCGTCGGCATTTACAGCCTCTGCGGCGTCTTTAATTGCGGCGCGGAGGACCGCTTCTTGCCCATCTGCATCAAGGCCAATCACTCGCCTCTCATATTCTTGGATTTGCTTGATATTGGCCTCCTGGATACCTTGAATGTCCTCTTCAGCGACGGGGCGGGCGAAAATATACATGAAACAGTCGCCGTTGGTAGCATTCTTCGGCCTTGTCTCGAATTGTACTTCCAAAGGCTCCCCTGGAAATTTCTCGGTTGCGCGGTCCAGCACTTTGTTCAAGAGCTCCAGGCTGACTTTAAATTCAAAGTCTCCCAGTGTAGTATTGGTAGATCCATGAAGAGACTGGTCTATCTCCGGCAGGGGGAGATACTGGAAGCCAAATATCCTCTCCGTGTTATGGAAGGCAACGAAGATGCCGTCCATGCGACCCATGCGGACTTGAAGAGAGTATTTCAAGAAGGCAGAGCGGGACATGTCATAGAACTCACGCTCATACGAGTCATATTCACCGTACCGATTTGTGATCTCGTAGCCCAACCCTTCCTCATAATCCGTAGCGTCTCTGCGAATAGAGATGACAGCTCGGGTCTTAAGATCGTACATGCCTGTCCCGGGTAAACGGGGATCGTGGGCATCGAGCTGCGAGCGCATAAGGAAGTCGCCAAAGGTTGTATAGTGATATGACTCGGGGCTGTTTTTGTCATTATCCGTAAGAGCATGCGAATTTTCCTTTCGGTACTTTATATATTCTTCCTTATCCGAAGTTAAGAACTTCTCCATTGATTTCCCAAGCCATTGGAGTACGTTGGATGTGTCAAACCCTTTGTTCGCATCAATAGCGTAGACACCATCTCGACGGCGCAGGAATATAGAAGCAGGCGCTCGTTGAATGGCAGTGAACGAGTTTAAGGGGCTTGGGAAGCCTCGTGATAGTTGATCATGATTGACAGGCCGCCATTTTGATAGCAGGTAGTGGAAGTGTGCCAAAGCTGAGGTCATGCTAGATGTTGACCCAGTGTATTTGCTGCCCTCGGCAACTGCTGTATCAATCAATGTTTTGTCGCGGGAAGAAGTGATGTATTCTTTCAGCGCGTTGTAGTCGAATTCTTTCACCGGTGTTATGGATTCCAAATACGGGTCAAAATTGTAGATGCGGGTATGGGGGTCCCGAAGTCGATATACTCCCTGGTTGAAGAGGACTCTTTCAAGGCCGCAAACAAGGCCAGGCACAGGTGGCTGAGGTTTCTCAACTGGAACCAACTTTAGCGCCTGTGCATGGACGCTTCCAGAACTGTAGCCTTCCCCTTCCTTTAGTGGTTTAAACACAGCATCTGTTGCTTCTGGCCTTGAGTTTTCCAGGGCCGATTCTAGGTTTTCGTACGTGCTAAGCAAAGTCGTAGCTAGAGTCTTATCTGCCTTTTCAAGCTCCTCGCGAGCAGCATCTTTAAATATATCCCCATCCCCCTGTGCTATCTTGAGGCCGCGCTTGGTCAGCAATTTCTTTTCCTCCAAGACTTTCATAAGCACCCTCTTCGCAACCCGATTGGCGGAGGAGCTAGTAATGGAATAAAGATAGGTTAAAAGTTGTCCTCTTCGCTTGGTCTGTCGCCCAGGAACCCTCGTAACATGCGGGGTGCGAGCGGGACGTATTGGCACCGAGCTTAGAACCCGCCGTGTGACAGGGTGTGATGATTGGGTCCAAGAGATTCTGACTGTTGGTGATTGCCTAGTCCGAAAGACCTTCCTCGTTGTTGACGGAACAAGTCGTGCTAATGATATGCCCCCCTTTGCTCCTGAAGACCCAATATCCGAAGACGAAGGCGGAGATATATCATTTAAGGCCTGCCTGCGTTTCTTTCGTCTCCGCTTCTTGCTGGCACTTGGCGGGGGTTTCCCATCTGTGCCAGGGAGACCCTTGTTGGAGCTCGATGTCTGTAAGGGTTCCGCTGTTTGGTCTTCAGGGTCTACTCGGCCTCCTTTAGACCGCTTCTTCGTTATGGTCTGCGCTCCTTTGCCAGAGCTAGATGGCCCCAATGTAACCGCTGTTTCGTGGGCCTTGTCTGCTAGAGCTGATTTGGATCGCCCTTTCGTTATCGGCTTCAGGGGTGTCGCTATTTTGTCGGCCTGGTCTGCTTGGGCTGATCCGGGGCTTTTCTTCGCAGCCTTCTGTAGCCAAGAATCCAAGGAACGTGGGCCTGTCGACTCGGCTTTTGGAGATTCATTTTCGGCATTGTGGGTGGCTGCTGCTACAGTGCTGCTCTGTCGCAACAAACGAGGTGAAGCATTTTCACCCCTCCGGATTGTAGCATTCAGACATGACGCACACACATACTGGCACCGTGATCCCACTCGTGGTGCAATTGTGTACATGGCCTTATATCCCTAGAGGGTGGGCGTGGATTTGAACTCGAGCAACATCGGCGAATGTTCCTGAAGGTTGTATTGGGAATTATTTTTCTTGACGCCTGCAGGCGCGCGCCACGCGCCGTTAGGCGCGTTAACCAGAAATTAATTTAACCCGCAAGGTAGAAAATACCAGCGAATAGGAACACTCCAATCATGAGTCCCTTTTAAGGAAAATAATTATTACCACGACCACCATCAAGCCATCTACCCCAACCGCCATATGGTGCGCCAGGATACTTTTTAACACGATGAGCTGCAAGCTGCTGCGGCGGCCCTACCGAGCATTGTCCTTGCACCAGGGCCTGAGAGTTCCGACATTAAATGGAATGGTCATTTGTACGAGGGGATTTGCCTCTCTGTCGCCAGATCCCAAGTCAGTAAATAAACGCCCACAACCGATTGCGACATTAACTTTAATCCAGTTCGAATCCATACGATGTAATTGTCATCGGCGGAGGCCATGCAGGATCTGAAGCATGCGCAGCCGCTGCGAGGTCTGGTGCGCGCACTGCCTTGATCACACCAAAGCTGGACAACATCGGCGTATGTTCATGTAATCCGAGCTTCGGTGGCATTGGGAAGGGTACTATGATAAGAGAAATTGATGCTCTGGATGGCGTGGCAGGGAGAATTATTGATAAGGCTGCTGTGCAATTCAGGGTGTTGAATCGGAAAAAGGGCCCAGCTGTTTGGGTAAGTGAACCTCTGTCGCGTTTCAAGAAGGTGTTCTAAAAATAGTTTTATTAGGGCCCGCGAGCACAGATCGACCGAGACTTATACAAAAAACACATGCTGGATGAGTTACAAGGATACCCGAACCTTTATATAGTCCCCGGGAGCGTCGCGGATATTATCGTCTCGAAGGAAACTCTAGACGGCCAACCATCCTCGAAAATAACTGGAGTAAGACTTGAATCTGGCGAGGTTATTCCTACCAACCAGGTCATCATAACAACAGGAACGTTTTTAGGTGGTGAAATTCACATTGGCCTAGAGTGTTTTCCATCTGGGCGCATGGGCGAAGCGGCGACATTTGGACTCAGCAAGTCACTGAAAGATGCTGGGTTTAAACTTGGGAGACTGAAGACCGGAACCCCTCCGAGACTGTCAAGGAGGACCATCGATTTCAGCACATTAGAACAGCAGCCGGGGGATGACCCACCGATGCCGTTTAGCTACCTCAACGACGAGGTTACTGTCAAGGAGCAGATGTTCTGTTATTCCACATACACTAATGAAAAGGCCCACGACATTATCAGAGACAACCTTGATAAGTCTATCCATATTCGGGAGTCTGTCAAAGGCCCTCGATATTGCCCATCGCTAGAGTCAAAAATCATAAAGTTTTCGGACAGAACGAGCCATATAATCTGGCTCGAGCCGGAAGGATTTGACAGCGATGTCATCTATCCCAATGGGATTTCTATGACCGTGCCAGCCGAGGCACAGGAGCAAATGCTTAAGACTATACGCGGGTTGGAAAATGCTACAATGTTGCAGCCTGGTTACGGAGTTGAATATGATTATGTTGACCCAAGGAACTTGAAATCAAGTCTAGAAACGAAGTCTATAGGCGGGTTGTTCCTGGCTGGCCAGATCAACGGAACTACAGGGTATGAAGAAGCTGCTGCGCAAGGAATCGTCGCTGGGATCAACGCCGGTTTAGTTTCCCAAGGCCGAGAGCCGATGATTTTGTCAAGAAGTGACGGCTACATAGGCATTATGATTGATGACTTGATAACGAAGGGCGTATCTGAACCATACCGGATGTTCACATCACGAAGTGAATATAGGATGAGCGCTCGCGCGGACAATGCGGATTTGAGGCTCACTCCTAAAGGGCGTGCGTCTGGAGTCGTGAGTGATGCGAGGTGGTCCAGTTTCCTGAATATATCCAGCCAAATGAGTGAGCTGGAACAGATTCTTCGAGCTGATATGCGCTCTGGCCCAGCCTGGATCGACGACGGATTCGAAGTTACGAAGGATACAACTAAAAGAAGCGCGTTTGACATTTTGCGCCGTGCCGGGATGAGCATAGACAGGCTGTCGAACAAAATACCAGATGTGCTGAAGTACAGCAAAGCGATACAGGATCGGGTTGGAATCGAAGCGGTGTATGCACCGTACATCGCCCAACAAGCAGCCTCAATGAAGGTCTTTCAAATAGATGAACAACTGCAACTTCCGGTTGATTTGGACTACGGCAAGGTCCATGGCATATCCATGCATGAGAGGTTTCTTTTAGAGGCCACGAGGCCTGAGTCTGTCGGCCAAGCTCGGAGGATTGAGGGCATGACTCCGACGGGTTGCTTGAGGCTCCTGGCTCACGTACAGAACACTCGCAAACGTGCAGCCAGGGCTATTTTATATGAAGAGAATACGGCCAATAAAAGGAGGGTCGCCGGCTTGTAAGATATATGAATGTATGATGAGATTGTATATTAGACAGCTCCAGACACCAGCAGCTGTGGGGGCGTTATTATAGTTGGATAGTTACCACTAAGGTGAGTCAACCGTGTTCAAACAGATCCCATGCGGAGGCTATGTTGGCTTGCCCGTCGTACTTTCCGAATCATACTGGCCAAATGCCTTGCACGTTGCAGGAAGAGCTCGCGGCAGGGTTTGGTTGATGCAGTCAAGAGCAGTCCTTACATGTCTGTCGGGGCAACGACGAGTGAAGGCGGATCGTCGCGCAGTGGCAGAGGAATATCTGTGTGCCTGTGTAGAATAAATACGTTACTGGAACATGACTATCTTCAGCGTACGCTAGCAATAATGGGTTACAATAAAAGTATGCAGGAAGTTGTCGCTCGGTCATTTCATACATCTGTTAAAAGTTAAACTGGGTAGCTGGATTGCCTCCATTCGAAGAACAACAATCCCAAAGTGGTGAGAATTCCTTGCGGTGACAATAATTCTGCGGTGAGAGCCCGAAGCGGCGAGAATCTTCCCCGATGGCGGTGACAGTGGCGATTACCATGCGATGGAAAGAGGGTCCCCTATAAACGGACGCTCAATCCGGAACTCAACAAGAAGTTCCTTACTCTCAATGTCCTTGCGGATTCGCGTGACCTTGTCTGCTGTAGGTTGAACCTGCCACATTGCCATAAATTGCGTCAGAAACTGCTCTTATATACTATGAGGGGTCAGAACGACTGCTTAGTCGCCATATGCATCTCTTGCCTCCTTGTGGAAACACTCGTAGACCAATCGCAAGTATCTTCATATGAGAGCGCCTGCCAGGGCATTCCACGCTCCAGTACCATTTGTAGATCCCACGGCCTTTACAGATTCTTGCCGGCCGTGGGTGACACTTCTTCCGTGCACAAGGAAAATCAGTACTCTATGTAGATTCTATGGGGATTATAGTCCCAAAGACGGCTACGAATTCCCTTTGCGCTCGACACATCAATTTATAAAGCGGCTGAACATAAATAGGGATATCACATACCGCGGATGATGGTCCAAGGCAAGAAGACTGACACAATCTCATACTTGATGAGGCCTCTCGTCCGCAAGAACGAGGAGAAGCTGAAGAGGATCCAGCCGATACTACAGTACCGTCTAGCGGCAGTAGACACCCTTGAGCTCGCTAGGCTTTAGGTGAACCTGGGAAGTGGTGGGAATATATCACGGTGGTGGTGACAGTAACTGTGACAGACGACGTGAGCGCTGCGACGGAGAGCAGGTTTGCTATTGCCAACCGTCGAATTCGTTTCAATACGTACTTCGTCGCCAGCTGCTCGCTCAGGTGACATCGGCTCCCGTTGGAAATGTAGATGCGTGGCTTCAGTGCCATCGGTTGTTCTTGGAAATAAGTTCTATTTAAGGGATTCAGCTGTATGTGTAGAATTCTGCTGACGACTGTGAGAGCGCTTGTGTCGAGATTTTGGCCCTTGTGATACTCCTTGGTTGAGTAGTATCGAGTGTTTTCTGAGAGAGGGCCATTTAAGAGCAGTCGAATCATCTCAGAACTGACTTCTATTCCTTACACAAAGACATTAAAGACACAGACTAGGATGGAGTAAAACTATGCCTGGTAAGAAGAATCACGTGCTGCAGCTAGAGCACATTGCACCACCATACTAAACAGCTAGTCGGAAGTGGTGAGAATCGCACGCGGCAACAGAAGCACCACGGTGATAGAGTGAAGTGGTGAGAATGCCCCGTGGTGACGACAGTGATGGTGACAGAGGGAGGACTGTTCCTTGATAGCTTTGTGGCGGTCCTACAAACACCCCACGTAATCATCGGCATGGATATATTGCTCCCCAACATGATGTAGTGGGATGAGTATGTAATTTTCCCTTCGTAATCGCCGATATCGATATCGCCATCTTATTCGGTAAGCCTTAAATTTCGTGGGAAGCATGTATTACCTTTAGCTACTTGATAATCCAAACTCAGTCGAAGTGAAAAAGATCAGATATGCAGGATGAATAAATTGAATTATATTTCCAACTTAACCTCTATCCCACTCCCCATATTCAAAACATCCAATCATTCACCAAACCCTCCTCTGAAGAAACACCCCCAAAAGAATCAACCCCTTGTTCTACATCTAGAAGAACTTCTTGTACTTCGCAATAGCGTCATTGAAGGCAACATCGATAGGGGCAGTGATGCTCTCAGCGATAGCACGGAACTCCTCTGGCAGCTTAGTGATAACAGCCTTGCTGAACTTATCAGTCGCCGCCTTCTGCTGCTTGAGGTTGATGAGGATAATCGGGCTGATAACCAGGAGACGGTCGAACCGGGGCTTGGTTCTGAGGATAGTCTGGAGGGAGGACTGGACGCTCGTGACGAGATCGGCGGTGGCGCTGGCGACCTGGATGGTCTCATCGAAGGTGAGCTCGACAGAGGCACCGGCGGCCTTGGTGCCCTGATTGATGTCGTGGAGGAGGGTGGTGCTCTGGATCAGGATGGGGATCGACTCGCCGAGTCCGATCAGGCCGCCGTGGAACTTGGCGATCGTGGCGTTGAGCTTGGAGGTGTCGCCGGAGATCTTGGCCATGGCGGCGAGGATGGAGGCGCTGTCAGCGACGACGGTGGTGGCCAGAAGGGCGATGGGGAGGATGGAGAAACGCATGTTGACGGTTGTGGTTGGGGGTTGAGGGTAGAAGTGAAGGTGGTTTGTTTGGATGGATTGGCTTGTTGGTTTCTTACGGGAGGAGGAGGCAAAAGGAAGGGGGTGATGGGTGGGAGACGAATTAATTATATACTCTCCTATTACTCCATATTTGCACATGGGATCCTTCCCCTTTTCTCCCCTCCCGCCGCTGCCGACGGAGTCCGTGAACCTAGTTCCTCTGGGGTTGAAGGTGGGAAAGTCGATCATCATCGTATGTGGGGAGGGCGCAATCGCATAATTGCGGAAAGTGGAAGATCCAGGGTTTAGAAGTAGGGACGGCGGGCTACTATGCTTGCAACGTCGTAGTTTGGGGAAACACGACAAGCCATCGGCAGGGATGAAGGTGTAAGCAAGACATAAAAGCGCTTAGCGTTTGCGGGGAGGGCGAAGGAGCAAGGGTGAGATGCGATCAACAGGGTTTTGGCAGGTACAGAGTTGAGTTGGGAAGGTTAGACGGGAAGTTTTAGAGGGGAAGTTAGAGGGACTAGAGGGTTTTAGAGTACTGGAGCAAATACTGGAGCATGTGGGGAAGAACCTTGCAAAAAATGCCGCGGCTTCACACAGGAAAAACATGTGAATATCAGAAATTGGCACGGGACGATCATAGTAGAAAGGAATCATTGTGCATTAGACTAGTACTGGCAATTTCAATGGGTATTCTGGCATTTTCCTGGATTTTCGATGGATCGCAGCGGCAGATAGACACGATTAGTGTACCCTGATTCTAAAGATAAAAGAAGCAGCGAAGAAGATATGATATTTGATCCATCGGTGTTGTTCAACCATTGGCGAAGTGGAGTTGCTGCCTTAAATACTAGGTACCGAATAAGTAAAGCATCGGACCAATCAATAAGAAGCATCAAAGGCTCAAACGATTTACCACGGAACATTCCCCTCCGGCGAGCACGGATAATGCGTCGTGAGTTCCCGATTCCCATTCAGCCCCAACCCCGCCGTGAACCAGCCATTATACTTCCCAAACGCCGACACCGCATTCCCATCCGTATCATCGAGCGAGCTGGCCGCGCAGGTAATTCGCCCCGGCGTCAGCGTTATCCTGGATGCTGTCCGTGCAGACCCCGTTCGGGTAGTTGGCGCACGAGACTTGCATAAGGCCGGGTGTTGGGCCGCCTGCGTCGGCGTTGCAGAAGGACGCGAGGATCACGGGGTCGATGCCGTGCCCGTCGCCGGCTTTTTGGAAGTAGCTGTCGTATTGCTGGCATCGGGAGCTGACGCCGGAGTAGAAGTCGGGGCTATGGATCACGTCGTTGAGGTCGAGGTAAGGTGGTACCCAGCCGTTGCCAGTTAGGCCGGTGTTGAGCCAGTCTTCGGAGCTGGAGGGGCGAGATTAGTTGGAGATGAGGGAAGGGATTGGACGTGGAAACTACTCATCCATTTGGACCCCCTCCTGGTGTTACCTCCCTTGTGGCTCCTTGGGCGCGAGAGTTTACCCGCCAGGGTTCTTCGATTGAACATCGCGACGAGGAGTGCAGCGAGGGCTGCATATGTGAATTTGCCCATTTTAAAACGCCGAGGAAATTGATATACAGGAAGTAAGAGCTGGTCAGGATGGACTCAAAACCCAGCTTGAGAGCTGGAATAGAGCTGGCTTTATACCTATCAAACCCCACCTCCATACTCATTTCAAGCGTCAAGTTAATTCGGCCGTAACAGCCACCTAGCGATACCAGCTTCTTCTTCCGACCTAACCTCACATTTAGCCATACGTCAAACCCTCGCCATGACGATGATCGCGGTGATCTGCAAAGCTTTGACATTACCGATTCGGCCCTACTCGTAGATCATAAAGAACGCCGGACATTTCAGCCCATGTAAACGTGCTGAAGTAAGCTGTACTGCATCCTGATAGCTTCGTTTATCGTATACAATCTCGTCGAGTGGCTTGGGCGGCAGGTGGTTAAATGACAGCGGGCAATTAACGGCACCTACACCATCTATAATCTATACTCTATTTTGCTATTTCCTTAACTCAACGTCACCCCATGTAAGCTTAATCATCTCACCTCTGTGAATCTCGGGCATCACGGCAGATAAACACGTCCATCGGCATCCCAATTCCCGATGCCAAGACTCTGATCGACGTTCTCGTCCGCGATTCCGCTAAGTGCTAATGTGGATATACAGGTTTATATTGATGATGTGCAGGTTGCTGATCACATATCGCATTGTGCAGAGTAAGCTTCTGGTAATCGCGGGCGGGTGCAAGATGCATTATGTGATACGGCTGGACTGACATAAACCGATAGAGCGCGGGGATAGAAGCTATACTGACCGACCTTTACGCACGTAGCCACAAGGATTCAAGTCTCGATTTGCCTGAGATAGAGTGGGAAGGTGATGAGATGCAGTGTGCCCGGTCATGGTTGAGCCAAAAACCGCCGATTCGTCGAGTTAGGGACTTCGTTATGTATGCAACGGCAGTTTTTGGTTGGGACGGGTGCGCCAGAGCTTGCAGAGATATCGTATTATCCCGCAGTTACTCTATGATATATGATATCTTAAGGTTTTGAGACGCTGAGGGCAGGGCGCGGTATGTGGGTTACTGGCTCGGGGTATCTCAGTTATGGGACATGGGGGGTTCGTATAAGTCTTGTCAGTCTCTAAGGGTAAGTTATGTGTTGTAACTCATTGGGATTGTTATATCAACAGTTACTCTCCAGCATGTGGGGTTGGACAGGCACTGTAAAAGTGAACACAAAGAGTGGTGGCGGACCAGTTACCAAGGTCGGAACGATACAGAAGTGATATGGGATCTCATGGAAACATAACCAAGAATAACTTTACTCAAACCGCGTCATGTATCCAGATTTGTCTCCATGCCTTTACAACAATTGTCAAAAACCTTCATAACTACACCAACTCCCTCCTCTTCGCCACACTCCTCTGCCTTACCTCAACCTCCACCCCCTGCGGCGCCTTAACTACCATCTCCGTACTCCCCTTCGTCCCCGTCCAACTCGCCTCAATCCACCCCCCCCCAGACAACGGCATCCTCCCCTTCGCCCACTCCAACCCCAACCCCTCTACCACCTCCCAAACCGGATCAAACACCCACCCCACCACTCCCGTCGCCTCATTCCGCTCCCTCCGCACCCCCAATATGAAGTCCGTGTAAACATACGTCGGTGCCCCGCCCCAGGGATGGTTCAAACTGGTGAACAACCCGATACCCGGGCTGCCGTCGGGGAAGACGTATTCCCATGATGAGCCTGTGCGGTACTGGTTCTGGTTGAGCATGTGTGGCCAGTATACCTCAAGCAGGTTCTTGATGACGGGGACGACGACGCTGGCGGCGACGTTGAGCTGGGTATGTGCGAGGAATAGGGATTCGAGCAAGAATCCCTGGACGTTGGGGGAGAGTTGGGTGCCGGGGCCGTTGCCGATGGCGGTAGAGTCTTTGTAACCGATTTGGTAGAAGAGGTCGCTCAGCTTTTGGATCCCGGTTGTGGCTTGGCTGGTATTGGCTATCCCGGCGCGGATGGTGAATGCGGTGGCAAGGAGGGTGGTGTCGCCTAGGTGGTCGAGGGACATGCTGTATGCTCCTAGGGTTTTGGACCATAACTGGTCGTTTACGGCTTTGCTGATGGTCTTGGAGAGACTTGTGTAGTAGTCAGCTGTTTCGGTGTCTGTGAGGGCTTTTGCGATTTCAATGAGCTTATTGAGAGCGATTACGAATAATGCTGTTGGGGCTGTTGCATGCTGTGTGTTCTGCGCTGTGAACCAGAATGCATCAGAGGCTGCAAAGAGGTTGGTCTTGGTGTCAAGATAGCGAGACACTAAGGTCTTGACGAGGAATTTCGTTCCATCCCAGTGTTTGCTTAATAAATCCAAGTCGTTCGTCAGAGTGTAATAATCTCCGATAGTAACCAAGAAAAAGAAATGGTAGTCGGTCTCGCCAAATTGCAATGGGTAGAGTATGTCTCGGTACTGCTTCCCTACTCCCATCGGTGCCTGCATAGGGACCAGTCCAGCACCAGGCCCATCCAGGAACTGCCAGTCGAACTCGAAGTCGATCATGCTCTGGATGTAGTCATAGCGGCCGGTACTGACAGCAATCATCCGAGCTGTGTGGACGAAATCTCCGATCCAGATTTCTCGATCCCTCGCTGACCCATCCAAACAGACAGCACGGGGATTCATGGCTATCCCATATTCTTCATAGACATCATCTCCAGTGAGAGAGTTGGTGTAGAGTACTGAGCCATCTTGACCAATAACCTCGACATCTCTATAGTACGCTGCCTGGTTCAAGAATGGTCCGAATCCAAAAGTGCCATCTGTGAGCGCAGAAGAGCCAATGCCGGGGTTGATGTAGGACTTAAAAGGCTCGCTGGGAACAAATGCAGCGTCTGTTCCATTGACTGAGATGTTGTATCCCGTAGAGGTGATGGACGTAGTAATGCGATACCACTCGTTATCCGACAAATCCATCGGCACATCGAAGTTCTGAGCAGGCGCAGAAGGCAGTAACTGCTGGTTAATAATACTGAATCCAAAGCCCGCAATGAGACTATTAGGTTTCAACTGTAGTGGAGACGTGCTCAGAAGCTTAGGACTGCCGGTGCTCAGGACGAAATATGGCCCATACCCGCCATTAGGACCTGCAGCAGCTCTCCATCCAACTCCACCTGTGACGATCTTCGTTGAGAAGGACATTTCGTAATTTTTAAAGCCAACTCCCCGCAGAGAAATAGCGGGGTACTGGCCACGGACCAGGGCTCCCTTGTCGCTGACGTCCCATGTTGAAGGTTGCGACTTTGCTTCGACACAGGCCAGATCCAAAGACCGGGCACCAAGGCCCCAGACTCCATCGTGGACGTTATTCGACGTCGAGAATGCTCCGGGGAGTTCACTGAGCGCCCTGATATCTACAGATGCTCGAAACCCTACGCTGTTCATGGTGATTGGCTCCTTCGATAAGAGAGTTATCGATTGCCAACGCTGACCACCCTGAATGAAGAAAGACGTCGTCGGTCCGGTAGTGGAGACATTGAAGGTCTCTGTGCGGAAAGAATTCATAAGACCGTTGACGTACAAGAAGGGTCCATTTGACCATGGCTCCTTCAAACCTCCAAATGGTTCAGAGTACTTCAGTTCAATCTGGGCACCAGATGCAGAAACGGATGAAACTTCAACAAAGGGAAATCCAGCAACGTTTGCTCCATAGTCGAGAGTAACGACGGGGTTTGCAGCGTCCAGCTTCAGTGGCTCGCCCGCATATTTCACAAGGCCATCAATTACTGGCTCGGTGCCAATAGAATAGGCAACCGGAGTATAAGAGCGTCCGGCGTCTGGAGCAGCATCTGCCACATTAACTGCCCATAGCCAGAATAGGAATGTGTTATAAAACCGAAAACATTTGATAAAAAAGACCATCATTTCGATGGCCGAAGTAGTAAAATTTGGTAACCAAGACCAGTTAAATCTCGTGTGCTTAGAAGAAGGTAGTAAGTGAAACCCCCGATATATATGTATTAAAGAGAAATGATATATATGCCTAGTGTAACCGTTGGATTTAATTTGAAGCTTGTGACATAAATGTACATTTGACCTCTTGAATCTCGTGACGAAAACATAAAACAGGTTGTCGGGGTAATGAGAGCCGACTGGCGAATGGTATCAGAAGAACGAACCCAACCCTCCTCACCTGGCGATCTTTACCCCACAATCTTGAGAATTAGAGTGTATATCGGAGATGTTTAACTGTTTCAGATACGAGTCCCACAGATTTTGTCGGATGCCGTTGCATTCTTCGGGAAATAGTCGCAATAGCTGTTGAATATTGGTAATTAGAGAAATTATATATAGTATAGACCAATATTGCAGTTCATTCATCGTCTGGAGACAGGAGAGTGATCTGTCAGGTGTTAAAGTTCACAACTTGTACACTCGATCTGGCTAGATTGATGGAGTACCCGGCCTTGGCTGTCTTAAGCTAGTCCCTTGGCACTAATAGGTCCGGGCACGTGATATTCACATGTGCCTCGTCGTCGATGTCCACACCTGCTCAGCACTTTGTATCGGTCAACCTTGGTCATCTGGATACCCCGTGTTCTCCCAACTCTCCCAGAATTTCGCGCCACACTGTAGCGACGTGATATTCTCATAAACAACACAGAAAACGATCAGAGCCATGATTATCGAGAGGAAAGCGGTGGCACCGAGGTGTGGGGCTCAGAGGGAGGCAGATGATAATACTTGTTGAAAACAGCACTCGGGGCTTGGCACCAGGATCACCGGCTCCACCGGTGATCACTGAGTCCGCTCCCCCGACATCGGTGCAAGGATATCAGAACCCTGTATCGTATTAGTAAGATCTCTGTATTATATTAGGTTTAACGTGCATGTACAGTCAAACCCTTGTTAAGATGATGGCATCCGTAGCAAGCATTTCCATCGTCTTATCGTATATATCGTTATATAGAGTAATATTATGTAAGCCACCTATCTAACGTAACCTGCTGCTGTGACTGTGCTCGAATAGCCTCAATGGCTGTTTGCAGCCGCTCTAGTGCCCGTATATGCCCCGTAGTAAGAGCATCCTGGCCTTCAGAATACTCAATCAGTATCTGGAGGGCATCCTGGGCCTCCTTTGCCGTAGGCGCAGGCTGCTCAGGCTGCTCCTCCTCTTCGTCATCATTTTGAGAGTTCTGATGCCCAAGTTGCCCCTCTATTATCTCCTCAAGTAGTTCTTCATCGGTAGTCTGTCCTTCCACCGCTCTAGCCTCTTCCACAGGGTTTAGAAAGTTCGAAATAGCCATTGAGTCTGTAATTGATGCTGTAGTTATCACTTGGTTGTAGAGTTCTTGTATTCCAGTAGGCATCGTTATTGTTGGAAGGCTAATTGGATTTGAAACAAGTGTAGATTTCCGGAAGCAGTTGTATATCGTAGTGTTTGAAACTTCTGTATTCCAAGCACGAATAATCCAGCGAAGAGTGAGTCGAAGATTCATAAGTTTCTGTGGATCTTGATTTGAATCGATAGTGTCGATTATAAACCGAAGCCAATGTTGTCGATAATAAACTTTAACATTTTGAATAATTCCTTGATCAAGAGGCTGGAAACGACTGGTACTGTTAGCTGGAAGCCAACAAATGCGGATATTAGGGGGAGGAGGGTTAAGCTCAGCCCCTGTATAGTGTGCTGAAAAGCCGTCCATTGTTAAGAGTATTTGCCGAGTAGTTCCAATATGCTGATAAAAGGCTTGAAGCCATTCGCTCATAAGTATTCCAGTCATCCAAGCCTTCTTATTCGCTTTCCATTGTGCCCCCATTGTTGGTATATTGATTCGTTGTAGTGCTCGAGGTGCTTTTGCATGGCCAATTGCCCAAACAGGGAGTCGGTCTGTTCCAGTAGCGTTGACGCAGAAAACCAGGGAGATCCGAGTCTTATTCTTCTTCACACCAGATTGGAGTTGTGATGACAGGCCTCGTGATGGCATCATCTTCCAGAAGAGTCCAGTTTCGTCCATATTGTATATATCCTCTTCTTGAAACTCCCCTGCTATTGTCCGTAGTGCCCTCATTTCTTCCTCGACGTTTTCCGGAACTGATGCCGCCTCTCCAAACCGCTGTCGTGATTGTATATGATGCCGCTTTTTGAATTTTTCGAGCCAGCCAGTAGAAAACGATGGGCACTCTTGGCCAGCATATTCTGGCAGTCGTTTCCAGATCTGCTGTGCCTTCTGCTGTAGTATATCGCCAGTTGTAAACCCTCCTTTTTCTTCAATCCAATTCTGCCACTCCCAAAGGATATTCTCTAGCTTTGGCCACTGGCCTAGTCGACGGCGTTGAATTCCAGTGTCTTGGTTCTTATCAAGGGCCTCAAAGTTGCTACTTAGTGATTCAGAAATAGTCGACTGGCTTAACTTGTGATGATATTGTCTTTCAAACCATTCGATACACTGCCGCTGAGTTGGCTTTGGAACTTGTTGGTGGGCCCAGTGTCGAAGGGCACGCCGCTGGTCGACTGTAATCGGCCTTTTCGAGGCATTTTGGGTGTCTAATGGCCACGTTAAGACGATGAACAGGTTGGAAAAGACGATGATTGTTGAATCGTATTTTGTATGGTAAAAGTATCGGTCCGTGGAAAAATATCGCACAAAAGAGGTTATCGGCTAAAAGAGGATCGTCTTGGCGAGGTTTGACTGTATAACGAAAGTGCCAAACAAGCGAAAGTGCCAAAATATCGCGACTACCCCATAAGAATTGCGATAAATCCACCACAACAATATAAATTAATTAAAACTACTCGGAGTCCTCTTCCTCAGACCTGTCTATTACAATCTGACAAGTGCGCGCATTGTGTCCAGTCTCACCACACTTGCCACAGCGACGTGCATGGGTTTCTTCCCTTGGCTTCTGACCACTACTCGCCCTTATTTCTTGCTCTACTTGCTGCACAACGTCCCTCTCGTCCTGTAGCTCCTGTGCTACCTGTTGACTAAGTGATCCTCCTTGCTGTAGTCGTGTTTTTTTAGCTCTCCGGCACTTGCTTAGCACTTCATTTGCCTGTCGCAGGTTTTGGTTCTCTGCTTTTAACAATGCTAATTGATGCATTATTTGTGATGCACCCTTTGTAAACTGGTCAACAGCTGCATAGATTGAGGTTGGAGAGCTATTTTGATGATGCGCAATTCAGTTTTTAATGAAAGTAGACTGTGATACAGCTTCAGTTGGGTTATTTGGTGTCTGAGAAACCCATGGTTGAGCGGTGTTTGGGCGAGAGGTTGGAGGTGTTGGCGTCTTAAACCTAAGGTACAAGTGTAGATATTACACTCTCAGGGCTAAATGGAAGAAGCCCAGCACCTCGGAACCCTCCCTGAATATTGCTTTCTGTCATTGCAATGTTAAATGCAGCATGGAAGGCAGGAAAGAAGTCATCCCTAGTAATGTGAATAATATGAGCCCGCATCATATCTTCAATTTGCCGACCATAAGCTCTCTTTAATGGGCCAAAACAGCCAACATCAAGTGGTTGGAGTATATGGCAAGAGTGAGCAGGCATACAAAGCGTAATAATGTTGTGTTCTTTGCAGTACTCCTCAAACTTGTCTGAGTGGTGGCTCTCATGACCATCAAGGACTAACAAGCGATAACCACCAACACTCCGGGGCTTTGTGTGCTTCTCAAAATGCTGAATCCAATCCATACCTCTCTCGTTTGTAGTCCAGCCATTTGCAGTAACAGCGATTACCCAATCTGCTGGAAATCCGCTATTCTCATACCAAGATACAAGGTGGTTTTTACCTGCCACAATGACAAATGGCGGCACTGCCCAACCTTGAGAACTAACGCCTTGGATTACTGTAACCCATTCCCGATTGCCAGGCTGCACCTTTTTTTGCCTTTGCCCGCCCATCTGAGCTCGTTACTACCGTTGCGCTTGAGATGACGCCCATCATAAACCCAGTCTCATCAAAGTTGTAGATATCTGCTTCATGGATATGATATTTCGCAATTGTGTTATGCACAAGCTCAAACCAGCCACGAATGACTTCTGGATCTTCGCACTTAGCCCTCTGGTAGTCGTATTTTCACTGGAAGCACTGATGAGCGGATCGATGCAAGATACGGGTGCAACTATACAAAAGAAAAAGAGAGGACACATCTCGGATCTCGAAGAAGTGTCCCGCAGTATACGAGAAGCTACAGTGGGAGCTATTAGTGAATCGTTTGAGCAAAACTACAGACACAAAAGGCAAAGAGTCAAGAAGCCGGTGGTGGTATCATCAGAATCTTCATTCTCATCCTCAGAGGAAGAAAGTGAGAACCGCCTATTACCAGCCGGAGCCAACACAAGAAGCCAGACGTCAAGGAAGCTGAACGCAATTATCACTTCTGGGTTAATCGGTGCAAGAGACAACACACAGAAAACTGACGCAAAATCCCAAGAATTAGACCATACTATCAGTCTAGAACTTGAACCAATTGCAACACCACCGACATCGACATCGACGATGTCAAACTATTACACACCCCCTGCTACGGGGAATGGCACCAGCTTTGTGCCTATCCAAAAGGACTGCATGCTGAATGGTGACGACAACTACAAGGACTGGTCGAAGAGAATGATCAATGCCCTCCAAATCGAAAGACTCTGGGACCTCGTTGACGGATATGAGACTGAGCCAGAGAAGCCGGATCCAAATCAATCTGGTAGGGACTTAGTCGTGTATTTACATCCAGCAAGCTTGCGCTTTAGATGAAGCAGAAAAATAGAGTGTCATCACGCCAGTCCGGGCTCATAACCTGTAGAAATAATAGACTGTGCATTTGGGTGTAAAGAGTTTTTCATTGATGCTAACCACTAACGTGCATGTATAACGAAAGTGCCAAACAAGCGAAAGTGCCAAAATCATGCGGTGACCAACCCCCCCAACTAAATGTTAAATTCCTCCACAACAAAACATGCGCCATAAAAATGATGAAAGCAAATTAGTGCTAGCTATCCAAGCTATGAAAAGCGACCCAAATTTGCGCCTTCGAGTTGCAGCTAGGATCTATTCCGTAGACCACCGCAAGCTACGTCACCATTTACAAGGCGTACCTTCACGACGCGATATCCAAGCCAACTTACGGAAATTAAGTAACCTAGAGGAATTAGTTCTTGTTCAGTATATACTTGACTTAGCTGCTAAAGGGTTCCCTCCTCAGTTGTCTATTGTTGAAGATATGGCAAATCGACTACTTGCAACATGCGACGCGCCACGCGTCGGGTCACGTTGGGCTTCAAACTTTGTTAAGCGCCATGTAGAGCTCCGGACACCCCAACAGCCCTCGCAAAAGCTACAAAAGAATATGATATAGCATACTGATCATGGAGGGCAAGAAACTAAATGGCATGCGGCGGCATCAAATCGACACTAAACTATGCGCCAACGACACTTGTCGAAGGCATCACCAATGCAAAAGAGATATGGGACACCCTCGCTGATAAAATCAGGCCACAGGGGGAAAACACACTGTTATCCCTTATTGCAAGACTTGAGCAGTGTGTCTACGGAGGCGAAGACACTCAGAATATAAAAACCTATGCTCAAGTCTTCCGCCAGCTCGATGAAGATATTGTTAGAGTGGGAGCCGAATTCAAGCTCCCTGATTACTTCCTGGCACTCAAGTGGATCCACGGTTTAGGGCCAGAGTTCGACGCTTTCGTGGGAAATCTTTTTCAAAATCACTCTATCTGCAGAAAGGGGCTATCACGGACAGGCGCCCTCCTTCTAAAGGAGGTTATCACTATGGCTGAAGATTATGAAAAGCTCATGGAAAATCGCAAGACAACTGGCGCAAATGCCCCAGCGGGTTTCTTCACCCACAAAAGGGGCTACTCTCAAACCAATAAACAATCCTGCTCCATGCACCCAAGAGCAGAGAATCACTCTGACCTCGACTGCTGGCAGCAACACCCTGAGAAGCAACCAGAGTGGCTGGAAAGAAAGAGAGCCAACCAACAGGGAAAGAGAAGCAGACCTGGAGCAGCAGCTGCAAATCTAGCTGCAGAAACAGCTTGTCCCCTCGCTCTCAACCAACCTCCTGTCAATATCCTCTATCCAAGACCTTGGTGGAGGATTCCGAACAGTAAAAGGAGGTTGCAAGCTCACCTACAACGAGAGAGTCCTAGCCACTGGACTAAAGATCGGTGGGCTTTATAGACTAAACCAGTCTGTTCACAAGCTGCTCAGCAAGAAATGACAATCCCAGACAACATCAGCAGGAATCACGTCCTTCTACACAGCCCATATCTCACCGCTCATGCCAATACATACCTGGCACTCCCGTCTTGGACACCTTAGCTATGATGCTATACATCAACTCGCTGGAATATCACACGGTCTCACATTGGAATCCACAACCCGAGACAAGGAGCGCGAATTCTGTGAACCCTGCACCCTAGGCAAACAGTTCGCTCATAACAATATGAGAACCCCTCGCCGCGCCACAGAACGACCCGGGCTGGTCCACATGGATCTTGCAGGTCCTATTACGCCAAAGACAAACGCTGGCAAATCCCTATATCTAATGATAACTGATGACCTCACACACTTCTCCTGGATCTATCTCCTTAAGGGCAAGACTAGCGTTGAAGTCCTTGGATACATGAAACACTGGTATAACATCGTCTGCAACCAGACAAACCTCCGCGTTAAGCATTTCTGAGCTGACGGTGGCGGTGAGTTCGCCACTGGAATATGCCTCATATGGTACCAACAAATGGGCGCTGAATGGGAACCAACAAGTCCAAATCAGCCAAACCAAAATGGCGTGTCCGAGCGTGGAAATCGGACGATACTTGATAAATCGCGATCTGTGATGACAGAAGCCAACCTACCAAAGGCGCTACGTGGTGAGGTAACCCGAACGATGGTTTACCTAAAGAATCGTTCACCCACATCGGCTCTCACAGTCACCCCTTTCGAAGCCTGGTACGGTATCCGCCCAGAACTCTCACATCGGCTCTCACAGTCACCCCTTTCGAAGCCTGGTACGGTATCCGCCCAGAACTCTCACATCTCCGACGCATTGGCTGCCCAGCATACAAACTCATTGTCAAATCGCTCTACCCAAAGAAACCCGACAACTGAAGCAGACTCACTCTGCTCATCGGCTACGAAGGTGACAACCAATATCTGCTCTGGAATCCCCTTAACGGTACCATAGAGCGTGCGAAAGAAGTGGTCTTTGATGAGACTGTCCATGTGAAGGATCCTTCTCACAGCATTCTCCCTACTATGAGCGGAAACTCAATCGCTGCCCCAGCTGCAGAAATGATACTCCCGCTCCAAGCCATCAATCATCTCCCGCAAAACCCAATGCAGCTCGCCACCTTCCAGGAAGAGCAGCGCCAGCGGGTAGAGGGGGAAAGGGCCCGAGAGGTCCTACCTGCTCACGCTGCAAACCCCTATCACTTTTCTCACTACGCCGACAGTACCAACCTTCGCTCCTACTGCCTACACAGCTAAACGACAAGACTTCCTGGAACCAGACCCCCTAGACGACACCCACGGTGATACACAGCAGCTGGCAACACCAAGTGCTGAAGAAAAGGAGCCCATCAACCACCGAAAAGCTAGGCAGAGTGCTCACTGCGCAGAAGCTCAATCGACCACCGCATCAAGATCCAGCAAAAGAAATGCTCATGAAACTTGGGAAATGCTTCATATGCCGACAAAATGGACATCGAGCTCGAGACTGTCCCCAGAAGCTCAAAGCTCAAGTGAATGAGGTATCTACAGCTGAGTCTATCATCAATTCGGAAAACGAATAGCCTCTAGACAAGTCATCACTAGAGGCAGTGCAGCCAGAATTGCAGCTTCTTCCTCGAGATCCAGTTTTGATCCGGACACCCCTTTCTTAGCTACTTGTAGAATAGGAAAATACAAAGCTATTGTCCATGCATTGATCGATACTGGTGCCACAGGTGGAAACTTCATTAATGCTGCTGATGCAGAAAGAATATGTGAAATCGAAGGGATAGCCCCAGTCGAACTTGTGAAGCCAAAAATGATCAAGTCCTCTTCACTGGAGATTATTGCAACCATTCTATACCAGATCGAGCCCTCGAAACAGAGCCTATATCTAAAAGCGAAAGACAAAGGCCAAAGAAGAAAGCCAAAGAAATGCCTCCTCCGGAACCTGCTCCGAAAGTGGAAAAACCAAAACCTTGCACCATAGCAATGATTGGCGCAGCACCATTTCGAATGCTCATGAAGCAAATAGGAGCTCAAGTCTTTGCTATATCAATGAAGGACATAATCGAGCACAAGAACAAGACCAAAACTGAAGAAATTGACTCTCGACTGATCCTTCCGAAGGAATTTCATGAATTTTTGGATGTTTTTTCAAAAATGGCAGCAGACAAGCTACCTCCCCATTGACCTTCAGACCATCATATTGAACTCGAAGGTGATGCAAAGCTGGGATATGCAAGCTTTCATTGGATTCTGCAATTTCTATCGAAGGTTCATCCGAAATTACTCCAGCATCATGAGGCCATTGGTGAACCTTACCAGAAAGGATCAGATATTCGAATGGACTCATGCATGCCAAACTGCATTCGAGCTGTTGAAACAAACAGTCACAGAAGCTCCTGTCTTGAGGCATTTCGATAGACACAAGACAGCCTATGTCGAAGCAGATTCCTCAGACTTCATCTCATCAGGAGTCTTGTCACAAAAAGATGATCAAGGGGTTCTACATCCAGTGGCATACTTCTCGAAAAAGCTAGCACCTGCAGAATGCAATTACGAGATATATGACAAGGAATTGCTTGCAATCATCAGATGTTTCGAAGCATGGAGACCAGAACTTGAAGGGACAGATTTTCCAGTCCAAGTCTTGTCTGATCACAAAAGCTTGGAATACTTCATGTCCATCAAAGAAGCTAGACCACAAGCAAGTGGGACCTTTTGAAATTCTAGAGCGAATTGGGCAAGTTGCATATCGGCTCAAACTTCCAAACAGCATGAAGATTCATCCAGTATTTCATGCCAATCTATTAAGACTTGACTCGAATGATGCAATCGAAGGGCAGCAACAGGAGCCAGAGCCTCCAGTCATTGTCAATGGCGAAGAGGAGTGGGAAGTGGACGAAATCCTCGACTCAAAAGTTATTCGAAAGAAGCTTTTCTACAAGGCAGCTTGGAAGAACTATCCACCGGATGAGACATGGTATACTGCAGAGAGCTTTGAAAATTCTCCAGAAGTTACCCAAGCATATCACAGAAAATACCCTCAGAAACCAAAATGAGAGCTGGAGACAATTGTTTTTTTTTGAAAATGGGATTTCTTGATCAGGAGATCAACTCTGGAGTAGGGGGGGGGTAGTGTTACAATATCAAGTGCGCCTTGCAGCTCGAGTGGGGGTTCAGGGGTGTGGGGAGCTTTCCGGGGTTGGAGCGAAGTTTTCAGTTGTGGAGTGAATTCTCAGAACTGGTCTCGCTAAAGAGAATTCACTCCACAATAGCTGTATATAGATCGAGCCACTGCTCGAGTGCTCCTCTTCTCTTTCCTTTCTTCTCTAGATTGAGTTTAATTCATAATACCCAACTGGCGCCCTATGCCTTGGTGAACCGTGACACCCAAGGAAGGCATCGCTGTACGGCGATGGTTCTCCATTGTTGCCTTTTTCCGCCCGTTGGGTGGGAAATGATTTGGCTTTTAGTTCTTTGGGTCGGTGTGTAGTCTGGGGACGATGCAGGCCTACTGGTGTAGAGCTTCGGGATGAGACCGTAGATGCCTTGAGGGAGTTGGTCATTTCCTCCAGCTGTCTCCGGCTTCACTTTTTGGAGAGGGGGATGTTTGAGCTTGAATCTCTTCGGTGCTTGCACTGGGTTCCGGATATCTTGGGTTCTTGTTCGAGGGAGCCGGCTGGGGCTTTCAGTTTCTGAGCCCCTTGTGCTTTTGTAGGCGTAGGGCAGTCTTGAGACCAGTGCATGCCCTTGCAGTGCTTGCATGTTGTGCTTGGTAGGTCTCCTCTTTCCCTTGCCAGCTGGACGTCTAGCTCCTGCTGGGCCATTCGTTCTTCTTTGGTGGCTTTCTTGAGAGCTTTGCGACGGGTCTGCTCGCTAAGTCTTTTATCATGGTCTGCTGCATCGAGTTCGAATCCCCCAGGTTGGTTGATGTTTGGTCGATTCAGCATAAATTTGGGTAGAGGTTCTCTAGGTGATGTGTTAGAGTCCTGTATTTCTGTTTGCTCTCAGTCTATATCTATCTCGTCCTTGGTAGCAGATGAGTATATGAGTATAGGGGGCTGAAGGGTCTTACTACTTCGTGGAGGTTGTTTTCTACTGCCTGGTTGGCCCTCAGAGGACTGTCCACCAATGGTTTCAGGTGACAAGTTTCCACGTAACGATAACACTGCTTTTGCTTAGGAACAGACATCAAGGAATATAATTGATTGAGTGGTGTCTGTAGTAAAGTGTATTTTTGATTGGGATTTTGGGGATGTTCGCTCCTATACTAGTAGCAGGTCCACCTGTCCTTAGTGTGTATCACTCTCTCCTCGGTCAGAGTTTTCCTCAACAATTATCACGTGCTCTCAACCAGGGTAAAGAATTTTCATCAGGATTGAGGAGCTTTTGCTGCCCAGGTGGCGATGCCGTCAGTGAGGCTGGTGTTACCATTTGGGCGGCGAAAATGTGATAATTTCATGGTAGGTTGTGATAGCGGACAGGTAATGCCGCCATGTGGTTGGCCTGTCATACACCCAGTTCTGGCAAGAGGATCTCTGTGAAGGTATTGAGTTGTTTCGTTTCAGCTTCATAGGATACTCTCCAGATCAGCTTACTTGTCCCACTGGATTTCTGCATAGAGGCACTCAATGTAAATCTTGAATATGAAGCCCTGGTCACCACAGCGCTTCATATCCCAAGGGATCGCTCCCTCTGCAATATGTAGGCTATAAGAACCACTACATAGTAATTTAAACGTACATAAATTAATCATTGTAAGAAATTATCACTTCATCACTCCCACGCTCTCTCCCACACTCACTCCCACGCTCACTCCCGCTCTCACTCTCGCACTCACTCTTAGCAGCTTCTAGGTCCCGAATTGGGTCCCGATCCTCTAGAGGAATTGGGTTGCTAGCTCGAAGAAGAGTTTTTACCCTCTTTTTCTAGAGGCGCTCTGCCCTCCGGGCCTCAACCAAGCACATACTGCACAAGGTGGATGGATATCTTTAACAACTAATACTTGGTCTACATGCAACTATTCCAAATACGCTGTAGTAACAGCACATTAGGTCTCTAAACAGTTACAATGTACAGTCTTAGATGTTATTAAGATACAAGAGCCAATCCATTCTAGTGAATAACTTACAGGGCAGTTAATAGCTGTTACAGACAACTATGGTATTACTCCTGTAGTTTTTACTATCACTCGTGATAATGCTTCTGCAAACACTACCATGCTCTTAGAATATGAGAACTTAGCATGCAAGAACGAAACTACATTACAGCAAACCATAGGCATATACAGCAATCAGTATGACGGATCATATTATATGCTTCAAGCATTTAGATTACAAGGTCTAATAACAGCTCTCTTTGCATCTTAACAGCTTGATTTAAGTATGAAAGATATAGCTTTAACAGCAAAAGATTAGGAAATCATGAAGGCGTTATTAGATTTTTTCTATATCTTTATATGCCTAACAGAGAAGCTACGAGGCTCTTCTTATCCTACTTTAAATTATGCTGTTATATATTATATGAGAATGACGCAAAAGCTTAAAGTCTTTAAAGCTGGATATATAGAGAATAGCACAATATACAATGCTTATTTAGCAGCATTAAAAAAGCTTAATGAGTATTATACACTTGAAACAAATCAACAGCAGAGTCATTCAACTATCGTTATAATATGCGACCTACATTATAACTTTAACGGATTTGATATTATCTGGCTAAAAAGCATTCAAGACATGCGAAAAAGGCAGGCAAAAGCACAATGGCAAGACTGTTACTATAAATATTGAGGCAAGTCATTAGACATCCAAGCAGCAAAGGTTATGGAAAGTATCTAAGATGAGGAATTAGAAGATGAGAATTCTAAGAAGACAGAGTCTGATTCTATGGATGAGCTAATCATCATGACCAAACTTTTCGCTTCGCTTAAGGTTGGAGTAAGCAATACGCAGCTGCCCAACCTAAGAGGAAGCAATATGCAGCTTGTCAGAACGTGCATCTGTTCACTGTCACTCCTTAACAAAACCTCCACCATAGTTGTCTATAGTATTTAGATAGTAATTATATGCAATTCATTTAATGGAAGAGACACCTCTATCAAATGCTCGTGAGTGGCTCCTAGAGAGCCCCTCTGAAACAGCAACTACTGCCAGTCAGATTTTCAAAGTGCCTAAATAAACGATACAGTTAAGTATCAGCCGACTAGCCTAGCAGCTCCCACACTGAGGGGGCTAGAATAAACTACTCTCTACTATGCAGACAGAGGCCATAAAGAAATGGATACTTGAGCAGTATTACCTAGGGTTAGAGCAACTAGGAATATGATATTTGCTGCTGTCTGTCAGCTACAGAGCCCACAGCTGCACCCATCACAAAGCTAGCTTATAAAATTTATATGGAATGAGCTTAAGGAATATCACTTTATTACTATGAAGCCAATTGCACAGCAGCGTATGAAGGCTCACAAGATGAGCCTATAGTTCTAAAGTGGTTTTAAGAGTACGGCTGGTTTATACTAGAGTGTGGTATAAAACCAGAGTCAATCTAGAATATGGATGAAACTGGCTTTTAGGTTGGGATACTAGGTGTGTGTGATTGTACCACGAGCCGCAAAGGAGCTCTACACCCTAAGCCTTGAAAATCGGATGTCTATTACTATACTTAAGGCTGTGCCTGTAACTGGAAAAGTCATACTGCCTGTACTTATCATTCTGGGCAAAATACACATGGACTCTTGGTACCCACCAACCTTTAAGGCACAGAGCTCATTATGCTCTCTAACACTGGATTTTCAAACAGCCAGCTAGCCTTACGGTAGCTACAGCACTTTGAGCATACTCCCTCTAAGTGTCATACTGACATTCGTTGCACTCAGTCTGCTATCAAACTCAAGAGCAAACTTAGAAATCTCCTCCTCAAACCTACAAGTTGTAATGGTGAGTGCACCAGATGTGAGAATCTAGCCACCCAAGGAAGGGATGAATTTACTAAGACAACACACTGTCTTAGGAAACAGAGCCAAAGGGTTGTAGCTTAGACTATTCCACAATGCAGCAATCAAGTGTATGATGTAGTGGAGTGGTTTAGACAAGTTGTACAAATGTTGAGTCTGAGAACTCAGGGATAAGTCAGAGGTTAGCACCTCACTGTAAGGACACAGGGCACCCAGCTCACAGTAATAGCATATGAGAGTGCGAGTCGGAGGCTAAACGGATGCTATCCTATAGGTCTACTACGAAGGATACAAAAAAGATGAAGGGGGAACCCCGTTGAGTCTGTTTCCTTAACTCCCGAAACGGGCCCGACTCGGTTATCCCAACCCTAGCCCTGAACCTTCCACCGCAACAGGTCTGCATCGGCCCTGAACCCTATACACTTACCGTCCCCCACTATAGTGTAACTCGCTATATGCTCCTCTACTGGTTTGAAACCCCACCGAGTCGGATTCCATGCTTGTAGTGACCGTAACAGTTCTGAGACAGGTTCTTCGAGTATCTAGGTACGGAGGCATCCTTACACTCACTGACTTTTCAGAAACAAGGAGTAACAAGATCAATGCTTTCAAGCTTGGAAAAGATGTGGAAGTATGTGATAGTCGATTTACTGTATTGTCTGCTTGCCCTTTCTTCAGGAAAGGGCAATCCTATTTATGCTAAAGGAGTGTAGTTCTCTCATTTTCCAAGACTTTCCATGACTAACCAGGCTTGGTAGCTGTAGTCGACGTAAGAGAATCCCATAGAACCATCTCCTAGGTTCCTAGCCTATAGGAAGTGAAAGGAGGTCCAAGGTCAGAGTACCCCTATAGACAAATTATGTCATAACTTAACCAATCTTGTGGGAACTAAGGAGCGATGATGTGTAATCAATCATAGAGGGTTGTAGAAGCTTTTGGAGCTATCGTTCATGTCACTAGGCCTCTAGTTGATAGACATATGTCATGTGTAGTATTAGCCCAGTAACTAAGGAGTGATGTCATGTAATGAATCATAGAGGGTTGTAGAGATATGCTATGTGGTTATATCGGCCCAGTAACTAAGGAGCAATGACGTGTAATGAATCATAGAGAGTTGTAGCAATCGTTGAGTAGTATTGCTCTTGTTGTTGGTGTGATAAGTTAAAATATGTCATAGTGACTTGTAGGTTTGAGGAGGAGATTTTTAAGTTTGCTCTTGAGTTTGATAGCAAACTGAGTGCAACGAATGCCAGTATGACACAAGTCACTATACATATTTTGGCTTATCAAACCAACAACAAGAGCAATACTACTCAACGATTGCTACAACCCTCTATGATTCATTACACGTCATTGCTCCTTAGTTACTGGGCCGATATGACCACATAGCATATCTCTACAACCCTCTATGATTCATTACATGACATCACTCCTTAGTTACTGGGCTAATACTACACATGACATATGTCTATCAACTAGAGGCCTAGTGACATGAACGATAGCTCCAAAAGCTTCTACAACCCTCTATGATTGATTACACATCATCGCTCCTTAGTTACCCACAAGATTGGTTAAGTTATGACATAATTTGTCTATAGGGGTACTCTGACCTTGGACCTCCGTTCACTTCCTATAGGCTAGGAACCTAGGAGATGGTTCTATGGGATTCTCTTACGTCGACTACAGTTACCAAGCCTGGTTAGTCATGGAAAGTCTTGGAAAATGAGAGAACTACACTCCTTTAGCATAAATAGGATTGCCCTTTCCTTAAGAAAGGGCAAGCAGACAATACAGTAAATCGACTATCACATACTTCCACGTCTTTTCCAAGCTTCCAAGCATTGATCTTGTTACTCCTTGTTTCTGAAAAGTCAGTGAGGTGCTAACCTCTGACTTATTCCTGAGTTCTCAGACTCAACATTTGTACAACTTGTCTAAACCACTTCACTACATTATACACTTGATTGCTGCATTGTGGAATAGTCTAAGCTACAACCCTTTGGCTCTGTTTCCTAAGACAGTGTGTTGTCTTAGTAAAATCATCCCTTCCTTGGGTGGTTAGATTCTCACATCTGATGCACCCACCATTACACTAAGGAAACGAAGGTTCTACTACTTGACTCTCATGTGAGCCATACAAGTGATGATTTCATCATTATGGCAGAAAAACACAATATTATCATATACACATTCCTATCCCATCTTACTCATATTTTACAGCCACTAGATGTAGGGATCTTCTAGCCATATAAGCACTGGCACAGAGAGGCTGTGCTTGCTGCCATACGTGATATGGATGTTACATATGACCTACAATTCTTTATGAGGGATTTTACCAAAATGTAGCTATAGACTTTTAAGGAGTCTATATTATATCAGCTTTCTAGAAAGCAGGAATTTGCCTAGTAAGCCACGTTATAGCTCTCGCAAAGCTACGTTCGTACATACAGCCTGCTCCTATGCCTACACCTATGCCTCTACCTATATGGGTTACACCAAAACCCTCAACTTTTAGGGGGGTTAAAGAGGGGCTATAGTACCAGAAACAACAGGTTCTAGAGGGTTTTAGTAGCCCCTCGAGGGACAGCTATAGGAATTAGCTCATAGGAACGGAAGAGGTTGTAGTAGGAGGCCAGCTTCAAGAGCTTAACCTCGACGCTAGGTTGAGGAGTCAAAGAAGCGGTCGAACCGAAGCCGGGCTCGCCTTCAGTTTGGAGGTGGGC